AAAATTTACTCAACAAAAATATTATTATTTTTTTTTTTTTTGTTGTAAAAATGCTGCTGTTTACTGGTGGAATTTAGTTGGTACAACAGTTCTTAGATTATGACTGATTTACGGAAACAGAAAAAAAAAAATGTTATTGTTTTTGATAATTGTAATATTACTAATACAAATTAAGAGATGTTTTTTTTTTGTTATTGTTAATTAAAACATTACTGTCAGTGTAAAAAGAAGTTTTTTTTTTTACTTTTTTTGAATGAATTTTTGCAAAAATTTAAATTAAAATAATCAAAATAAACAGAATGAATGAATGGATGGATGGATGGATGGTTTGCTGGGGCGGCGGTGGCGGCGGATGTGTGGACAGCAATTTTTTTTTTTTCTTGAATCTAATAAGCAGTCTTTTTTTTTTTGCTTTTTTCTTCAACACATTCTGTTCTTAATAGAATGCAGATGTTGGCTAGACACGATAGTTTTGATGACTTATAAAACAGATGTTAGTTGATTTACTGCGAATCTGATGTCAGCAGTTTTTTTTTCATGTAACAACAGAGATTAGAACTAAGATCTGTTTGTTGTTGTAATAGAAGAGTCTAAACAAGTAGTAATACAAGTTTTTTGTTTTTTCTTTTTTTTCTTTTGATGCTCAGTTATCTGCTAAAATAGTCTGTCTTTAAAGGACATTTAAATTAGTCGTTATATGCTAAAAAGTCTGTCTTTAAGGGACTTTCAAATTAGTCTTCTGTTTGTTGAAACAACATTTTTTTTTTGTTGTCAACTGATAGCCAAAACAAAAAAAAAGAGATGCCTTTCCTTTTTATTTGAAATAATTGATATGTAAAAAGAGAGGAGGAGGGGGGGGGGGGGGGAAGGAAAGCCGAAGTATATTTGTTGGATATAAGTTTGATTGTTGTCGTTTTTTTTGTTTTTGTTTTTGTTTTGTAAATGAGCTCAACTGAACAATATTTTGAAATCTGTTTCTGGTTTTTTTTTTTTGTTGTTGTTGTTGTTTAGTAGGAACCTTATTGAACTGATATTAAATCTCATTTGTAGAAAAAAAGGAATGGGACCGTAAAAAAAAAAGGAGAAGGAGAAGGAGAAGGAGAAGGAGGAGGAGGCGAAGGCGGAGGATAGAAATAAATAAAATTATATGTTATGTTGTTTGAAGTTTTTTGTTACTGCAAAATTGGCAACAAACCTTCAAAAACAACCAAATTTAAAGCGTAACAAAAAGAACAAAAAAAAGACAGAAAATACAATTAAATATGTGAAGAAAAAAAGTTTTCCTCTTTTTGTTTTTGTAATCTTTGCAATTTTTTTCTTCTTCTTCTTTTTTCTTTTCATTCTTTACTTATATATATTCTATTGAGGAACACAATTTTTGTTTTT